AGAATCAATAGATCTGGACATGACTGGCATGCCCCTTCGGAGGATGAGGGACCACTCCTGAGCAGGCGACGAGCTCTGGCCCCTTTGATCCAGCTCTCCTCAAATCACTTTTAATATAGGCAGACTCTACGGTCAATCTGACCTCAGTTCAGGAGGAGAATCCTTCCACAAGTAAGGAGGCAAAACCCCCCTTTTACCAAAAAAAGTAGCACAGGACAAGTACATTCCTTGTCCCAAGGTTTTCCGCACCTCCGTAGAGGAGCAATGGTCTTCCCTAGCAATGCCACCTACACCTAACAGTGTGGAGAGGAAGCTATTCAATGTGTCTCCCTTCTTTTCCGACATGCTAGATGTCCCCACAGCAATTCCAGGAGACATGGCGGAGGCCTTGAAACCAGAGGACAAGAAATTTGAGCACTCCCTCCGTCGCTCCCACATGGCAGCAGCCGGGGCAGCCAAGGCGGCAACTTTCTCGTCATTCTTTGCCAGGTCCTGCATTATGTGGCTTCGCGAGCTGCAAACCACTGTACCTCCTGATCAGGTCAGAACTCACCAAACTTTGGCCAAAATACTGGCTGACTCACAATTTATGGCTGACGCCTCACTTCACGCAACCAAGTATGCAGCAAGGTCAATGGCTGCCACAGTAGCCTCGCGCAGACTACTGTGGCTTAAAAATTAGAAAACAGACCTAAAGGTCAAGTGGCGTCTATCAACGTCCAAGTACAGTGGGTCACTCTTGTTTGGATCCATTTGGATCCACATGTAAGTGAGAGCAGGGACAAGAGAAAGATTCTAGTCCACCCATCAAAGAAGCTGGATAGGAGAGGCACTCAAGAATTCCGGAGACAAGGTTTCCGCCCAGGAAGCTCCTGGGACTGGAGACAGCCCTTTTGATCAGGGCAATCCTGGGACTGGTCTAGAGGCTCACGATCCTTCTACTTGAGACAGGATCGTTCCCAGGATTGCCCAAACATGGGAGCCTGAGGACAATTCCAATCCAGGCGTCCCTCCAGAGGATCGGGAACCCAACCCTTTAAATGTTCCAAGTGACGCCAGGCGAGATACTCCCATAGGGGGTCGGTTAGGGAACTTCATCGAGGTCTGGGAACAGACCACCACCGATGCCTGGGTACTGGAAACAATCAGGCATGGCCTGACCTTAGAGTTTTATTCTCCCCCACCAAACCGCTTCATCAGGTGTCCCATTTCCAGAAAAACATCCAAAGCAAGGTCGGTAACCTCGGCCATTGCACACCCTTTGTCAATTCAGGCCATAGAAAGGGTACCAAAGGAAGAGGAAAGGGAAGGCTTCTACTCCATCCTCTTTGTGATCCCAAAGACATCATGAGGGTGGAGGGCATTACTGGATCTAAAGGGTCTGAATTATTTTGTAACCTACAGGTTCAAAAGGCAGTCCCTAAAGTCCATCTTGGCCAGTATCAGGGAGGGAGACCTCAATAGATCTTATGGAGGCGTACTTGCATATTCCTATCCATTCCAAGTACCGCAAGTTCCTCAGATTTACTTACGCAAACCGGCATTACCAGTACAGGGTTCTACCCTTCGGATTCTCCTCAGCTCCAAGGGTATTTACCAAGATTCTAGCAGTCATAGCGGCCCATCTCAGGTTGATGCCGGTGCGCGTACAGTTTATCTGGACGACATTTCATTCAATCCAGCTCACACAAGCAAGCAAGATTAGACCTTCAGACCACGATCCGCATCCTGCAGGATCACGGACTCTCAATCAATTTCAAAATAAAGCCATCTCACTCCCGCAAGGAGGCTTCAGCATCTGGGAGCGGTGACAGACTCATCCCAGGGCAGGATATATCTTTCCCAGGAGCGTTGAAACAGCATCTCCAAGCTGGCTCATCAAATTTAGAAAGACAAGAGAGTACCTTTGATACAACTCTCGAAGCTCCTGGGAAAGATGATATCTTGCATGGGCATTGTCCCATGGGCAAGACTCCACTCAAGGGAGTTGCAGTGGTTCCTCCTCCCTTATCAGAGAAGGAACCTCAGCACCTCCAGCAGGAAGGTCTTGGTACCAAACCACTTACTGAGGTCCCTGAATCGGTGGATATCACCCACGATGCTCAGGGGAAACATATTCAGGGAGCCGACCCGGCTCACGCTCACGACAGATGCGAGTCTATTCAGATGGGGAGCCCATCTGGGAACTCAGATAGCTCAGGGCCAGTGGAAACAATCGGACCTCACTCACAGCATCAATTGGCTGGAGTTGCGGGCCATCCACCTGGCTCTGCGCCAATTCTCCCACCTAGTAACGGGAGGACATGTCCTCGTTCTAACCGACAATGTGGCAGCAAAAGCCCATGTCAACAAGGGGGGAGGAACAAGATCCATGGAACTGATGCAGGAAGCATCAGCTCTAGCTCGGTGGGCGGAAGCAAATTTGAGTTCCACCAGAGCGGAACACATCTCAGGGGAGGCAAATCTCCAGGCAGACTCTCTGAGCAGAGCCAAGGTGGACCAGTCGGAATGGCGTCTGGATCCGGCCTTGTTCAAGGAGGTCCCCAGGAGGTTCGGGCGACCACACCTGGACCTATTTGCCACTCCGAAGAACACACAACTACCCAGGTTCTTCTCCAGATTCCTGACTCTGGGGTCGGAAGGAACGGACGCTCTCAGGTGTCGGTGGCTGGCGTAACTCCTGTACGCCTTTCCACCACTCCCATTGCTACCGGCGACCATACGCAAGTTGATCCTAGAAGGCGCAGAAGTACTCTTGATTGCTCCACACTGGCCACGGCGTCTGTGGTTTACAGACCTTGTGGATCTCTCAATATCAACCCTGTGGAAGATTCCCCCGGACCGAGTAATACTCGGTCAGGGCAAGCTTCTACATCCAGATCCTCAGTGGCTGCAACTAGCCGCTTGGCATTTGAGCGGCAAAGTTTAGCTAGGCAATCCTATTCCTCAGAGATGATATCAATCATACAAGCATCAAGACGACCTTCGACCAACAGGATCTACGACGCTACATGGAAGGGGTTCTGCAAGTGACGCTCTCTACATCAGCTAGATCCAATTTCAGTGTCTATTCCCAATATATTAGACTATCTGTTAGAGGGACTTAATAAGGGCCTATCAGTCAGCACCATTCGTAGACAGGTAGCGGCCCTCTCAACTGTCCTTTCCTGTGACAACTTAACTCCTCTGTCGCAACATCCGGAGATTAGCGCCTTCCTAAAAGGAGCAGTCAATACTAAGCCTCTTGTCATACACAGGTATCCTTCCTGTAGATGGTCTAAGGTTCTTCAAGCCTTGACATCAGCCCCATTTGAGCCTCTCGACTCATGTTCTCTCCATCACCTATCGTTAAAGGTAGCCTTTCTAGTGGCTGTCGCTTCCGTGAGAAGAATCTCGGAACTAGCAGCATTGTCAGTTAGGAAGGATCTATGTACCTTCTTCAAGGACAAGGTGGTCCTCAGACCGGACCCTGCACTCATTCCGAAGGTAAACAGCATCTTCCACAGATCTCAGGAACTGACTCTTCCTGATCTATGCCCAAATCCCAGACATAGGCTAGAACATAGATGGCACAAACTGAACGTGCGTAGAGCGCTGTGTTACTACGTAAAGCGCACTTTGTCTTTCTGTAAGACGGAAGCTCTATTTGTTTCCTTCCAACCATCAACTATGGGGAAGAAAGTTTCATCTTCTACCATAGGTAGGTGGATCAGAGCTTGTATAGCCCAAGCCTACATCGCTCAGACAATTCCACTGCTACCACACAGTGACTGCTCATTCAACGCGCAGCGCGTCCACATCAGCAGCGTGGTCCACACAAGGCTCAGTGGAGGAGATTGGTAAGGCCGTAACTTGGTCTTCTCCCTCCGTATTTGTTAAGCATTACCACTTAGACTCCTTTGCCGCAGCGGAGGCTGCCTTTGGTAGAAGGGTGCTACAGCAGGTTGTTTCGCCTCAGGAGCCAGGGGCCTAGACACTCCCTCCCAGGGGGACATGAGGGCTTTGGTATGTCCCAACCATTGGACTCTACAGCCATCCTGCTGGAGAAGAGGCGTCTTACCTGAACGCCTTTTCTCAGCAGGATGATGTAGAGTCCAAACCCCCCCAGGTATTAGGTCTAGGCAGATATCGAACGAGGAGCTACTATAGAATTCAACGAACAACTCTCGTCTCAGTCAAAACTGGAGTCACACCAAAGAGAGGGTGTGGCCAAAGTTTTGACCTAGTCTGTCGGGCGGGAAGGCTGTCATGGAACCCAACCATTGGACCCTACATCATCCTGCTGAGAAAAGGCGTTCAGGTAAGACAACGCCCTTTTACTTAAAATTTTCAGCAAAACCAGTACATAGGTTCACTTAATTACTTAACAAATGCCACAAAAAAGTTGTAAAATGGGATGATCTAATTTACTAACCACCATGACTTATGACCGTGATCAGCAGGCTCTATATTACAGTTGAAAGTCAAAGACTCTCTATTGAAAAGATACAGAGAAAACCTGAAATTCTTTCAATGTTTTGCAACTACATTGCGCATATCGTACTACAAGGTTGTACAGTACTGTGACACTCATTTTACTCAATATAGGAAACAGGTTAGTCTCACAGAAACATGTTTACTTTGAAAGGGGCTGAATGTGGGCTCATGGGATATAGTGTACAATCCTTCATCAGTCTAGCCATTCTATGCATCTTATGAAGTGAGCTGCAGATCACTAACGTTAGTCAGAAAAGATTGTACCAACTCGCTCTGGTTTTTTGCCACCATAGACTAACATGTCTCTCCTCCTATAATTGCTACTTATCCAGAATGTTGTAATGCTACATTCTGCGACATTCCATTCTACAGAACAGAAAATCTAATTCTTCCTAAATTTTTGTGAGTTACATCTTTAAAAGCTTCAGTTGGGTTTATTCACACAGAAATGCTCAGATTTAAGACTCATAAGACATATTTCTCATAAACTCACTTCAGAGGACAATGTAATATTGTGCCAGTACCTGGGATTCATTGTGCCGCCCTTCTGCGGCAAATCTCCAATCAGAATCTCAGCTCCTTTTATCCATGACTCACAACAATCTCCTCTGTTTGTGATCACTACTGCAGATACTTGAAAGGCTGAAATCAAATCTACCATCCACCAGGGCTCAAAATCCTTCTTTGTCAGAGTACAGTCTCCATTTGTGTAGATATTTGCCAGGGATCCATCAATGGCCTTCCTTGACTCCCCTTTTTCTTCAAATGTACTAGACTGGGATGATAGTTTTCCCACTGCTACATTAGGATCTGGCATGGAAATGGAGACAATGGTATATTTATTTAATGCAAAAGCGAACAAGAGCATCTAATAATATGAGACACACATTTGATGTATCAAAAAATAATCTTTTAGCATCATCTAGATGACTAGTAAGGGAAGTTTAGGACTAATTTTCAGTTACTACTTGTACCTAATCCTCAATGGAAATTATCTAATTGTTTCATTCCCAGCCTGGGATTCTGAAGTAAATTAAGGGGTCTTTTAATTTTGAGCAGTTAACTTGAGGGAGGGGGGACTTCAAGTATTCCCCAATAACAGCCATTGTTTTCCCTAGTGACAGTAAAGGGGTATGGTTCAGGGAGGATTCAGGCCTAAAGCCAACAAACTTTAGGAGAAAGGCAACCAGCAAACAAAAAATCTTTTAAGTACTACAAGTTGATTTTTGTATTTCCTTCAATTATCAGCACGCCTCTTTATTTGTTTACAAATTACTGACTGCTACCAGCTTTGTAATGCAGTTCTGAGCTTCAGATAGTTTGTTATAGATCAACTTTTCTCTCCAATCCCTACTTTGTACCTTGTAGTCGAATATTCCAGGATTAAGTTTGTAATCCAGTTCCACATTTTGCCATGCCCACTTGGACTTGGTGTCTTTGTTTAAAAAACTGGAGCCTAAGGGGAAAAGCTGATTGCTGGTGAAGGGAGATTTTCCTCTTGTACGCTGTCCAGATTCTAGGCAATGGAGAACATTCCCCCACTCAAGAATGTTTTAGCAGCATAACTCCCTGCCTAGCACAAATTTTTCACCTGGACAGCCTGGAACTCAGATAATAGAAGTGTGAAAGTAGAGATCCCAGCAAGGGCTGTGGCAAGTGGTGTGGGTAAGGACTCTTTCCCATTATCTCCTCCCCCTCTTTACTATGGATTTTTCAGAGATGCCCTTCTGGGGAATTCTGACAGCCGCAGTTCCCAAACCTCCAAAGGCCACCTAGCTTATTGCATCTTTTATAAAAGCTCTCCATTCTGAGGCTATTCACTTTGAACTGCATGAAAAGTTCTTTGCTGAGCCTCGCTAGTCATGGGTTACTTAATCCAATTTCTTCTATAAGCCATAATTTGTTGAATTTACACATTGCCATAAGCTATCAATGATGATTTGCCATCCAAACTGGCATGTAATATATGTTTTCAAAATTAAGCGAAGGGCAACTTGCAGCCCATTGGGGTGTTGTTGTGTTGGATATGTTCACTGCCTTGAGTTATTTGTAAAAATAATAAAGGCAGGAAATAAGCAGACAAATAAATCTTCCTTAGTTTTTTGAGATTAATCAAGATCAGACAAGGTTGATTGGTTTCTCATCAAAAAGAATAGAGAGAGATTAATTTAAAATATATCCATAATTTTATCTGTATTGCTGTAATAGCAATATAGTACCTCAGACAAATAGGATAAGGAAGCATTTAATTATAAATAAATATATCATGCATGTAATGAGTTTATATTTACCTCCAACTGGGATTATTGAAGCCTCTACCATAGCCCCACTGCCTGCACCATCTAAAAAAAAGAACTCTTAGTAATCCAGAAAGCAGTTGGTAGAAAGAGATACATGGCAAGAAAGAATAGGCAGAATTTTTTTTTTAAGCCAATAGCACAGTTGCAAAACCAGCAAAGCCAAATACAGCCAGCTATTAATCAAAAATATATACATTCAGATCCAGATCAGAGATACTTAACTGATTTCTGGCTTGATCTCACCCCAGTTTAATACCTTAACTACAGTATGTGCCACATCAACCAATATATTTCTTTTTCCAGCCTTCTAGACTTCTACATAAATTTTACCAGATTCAATGGATTTTAGTCCCAGTTATTGTGCCTCAGGAGGCAGCCTTAAATGTGATATTAAATCCAATAGGAGCCAGATAAATTTTGCTGGATTTCATGTACCAAAATTAGGATTAAAACCTAAATTGTCAAGCAAAGTAAGTAACTGGTACTCTACTACTTACATTTATATGTGATAAGCCAGTGAAGAGCTACAGTAATCAGGACTGCATGTAGCATGTTTTATTTTACCAGCTTTTTCAAATACTATGCAGACGTTTCAACATCTCTTTTGCAGCATTCAGGAGATTTTCTCTTCTTTATCCATTAATTTCAGCGGCAATCTTTTTTCCTTGGGCTGTTCTCCAAACCTTGAAAGGCAAGACACCCACGCAACACCTGCTGGATAGGAAATTCTAAGCGGTGAGAAAGATCTTGATTACAGTAGTGTATTTTATCCAGTAAGATAAAAATTTAATAGGTCCACAGGGTAATGAACAGAAATAGCCAGAACACAATGACAACTATAAATTCCAGACAGAAAGTATTAATATTTAACATACATATATACTAGTGACCTGAAGAAATAAGGGCTCTGCTCTATGTATACAGCAGAAACTTGGATAGTTTATTTTCTATTTTTCTTAGCATTTATCTTGTTTGGTTGCCAGGCTTCTTTTAGTCTGTGCCTGCAGAGGTCACACAGCAAAGTTTCAGTACATGATGCTACAAGTTGTTTTGTTTTCAGATGTCTTATTGCAAAGACTGGGTTTGATTAGGGCTGAAAGGCAGTGCCAACTCCCCTCCCTACCTAAGAGAGGACTAGAACCTGGATTTCCCTCTCCAAGCCCAGAATTTTAAAATAATAATAACAACAGCAGCAGCAGCAGCAGCAGTAGTAGTAGTAGTAGTAGTAGTAGTAGTAGTAGTAGGAAGGGACTTGGAGGTCTTCTAATCCAACCCCCTGCTCAGGCAGAAAACCCTATACCATTTCAGACAAATGGGTGTCCAATCTCTTCTTAAAACCTCCAGTTATGGAACATTATGATAGGTCTTCTACTGTTGAGTTGAAAGATAATTCATTCATCCTGAGTTTGCAGAAAACTTTAACAGTGTGATATTTCTTGTTCCCCACTATTGTTAAAGGACTAAACATGTCCTTTATGCTGATATGGGGTGTAGGTAGAACTAAGCCCTAGAATTCAGGTTCTGTTAAAATAGAGAGTAGGTTACAGAACAGCAAACATTAATGAACCTCCATCATGCCAGCTGTCTGCAGGCACCAGATATAGGTGCTTGAAATTCAGCTAATTTTCTAGTTTAACCTGCAGATAGCAAAGGATGAACATTTAGGACAGCGGTGGGCAATTAATTTTCCCAAGGGCCACCTGAGAAACTGGGACTGTTTGGAGGGCAGCTGCCGCACCCCCCTTCCTTGCTGCCCCACATTTCATACCCCACTCCCCATCAATGCCCCATCTCCCACCACTATTAGTATCACCACAGGCCAGACAGGGATAGCCAAAGAGCCAAATGTGGCCCACAGGGTGCAAAATACCCAGGTCTCATTTAAAATCTAGAAAGGTTTTATACACCACACAATAGACTGAAAAAACAAAGAGGAAAAAGTTAAGTATGACTTAAAACCATAACTCTGCATTTTGGAAGAAACTGACATGAGCCAGTATGATGCAATGGTTAAAATGCTGGCCTAGAAGCAAGGAGAGTGTGAGTTAGGCATGAAAGCCATCTGGGTGATTTTGGGCCAGTCAGTTTATGTCAGTCCAATCTAGGATTGTTGTTGTGAGAAAAATAGGAGACAGGAGTATTAAGCATATTAATGTTGTTCTAGAAGACTTACTGGTTTTTGCAGATTTCTTGTTTTTTTCTTTTTAATTATATATTAATGACTTAGATATTAATAGGATAGTGAATAGGAAAAGTGTTGAAGCTTTTGGACCTTAGTGTGGGAGAAAACTTCTGAGATTATTTTAGACAGCCAAATAATAAAACAATGGACCATAAAACAAATCATTCTCATTCAAGACACAAATCACCAGGTTCAAATTATCCTACTTTCATAATTTGGACACACTATGTGATGATCTAGCTCTCTGGAGAAGAGTCAAATGCTGGGAAAGGTGGGGAAAAAAAGAAGAGGACAACCAGCAGCAAGGTGAATAGACTCAGTTATAGTACTGATGAGTGCAACATTAGAAGATCTGAAGGACCAGGTTAGAAATGTATCATCATGGAGAAAATCTATGCAGTCACTATGACTCAAGAATGACTTTATGGCATGTAATCATGATAATCCGTGAAAGCATTCATGCTCTTAAAGATTGCAAAAAGCTAATGCTGCAAAGCTGGAAGGACACCCCTTCTCCATTAGTTATTCAGTGGTCTGAAGAATTTATCTTCTGTCTAAATTTGAATAAGTATTCCCACCACGTCAGAAAAAAATACCTTAAAAAATTCTAGAAATTTGGAATGGATATGTTGAATTTCTCATTTTGTTTACTCAGCTGATTTAAGTGTGAATAATTTAATAAAACTTAATAAAGTAACAATATCAACATAATTTAATAATTAACTTGATCTTGATCACTGCCCAGATGCAGAGCTCAAATGTTCCTTTTGTTCTATGATCAAAGGAAGCAGAACCTATTCAAGTAATGAATTGGGTACTAACTGTTTTAAGATGAATTAAGTTACATTATATGAGCACTAAATGTTAAGTCACAAAATCCTTATATTTTTAAGGATCATTAGAAGAGGTTAATTGTTTGGGCATAAACGGAATTTTATGCCAAAGTAATTTCTAATATCGTTCCATTTCTAAACATGGATTACTCTATTAAGTAATGGCCTTATCCTAAAATATAAATACCTTAATAAATACCCCCTGGTGCAATTGTTACACCTGTAAGGCTTTAATGATGTGTGGAGCATTCTCATAGTATAACTAGAGAGAAGCCTCTATGAAGCCTTTACACTAATTATATCCTAAACTTACTTCACAAAAGTGTTTGCAAGGTTATTTGAGGTTGTTGGACCTGAATAAGTAGACAGGTTCCTTAGGAATTTAGCCACATGCTCTTTAGATCCATGCCCCTCCTGGCCTGTGAAAGCAATCCAGAGTGTGTTGTGAGAGTGGGTTTTGGTGGGAATTTTTTCTTTGAGTGAAAGGATTTTTCCTGTACCTCATAAAGAGGCTTTGGTTTACTTCCTTCTCAAGAAGCCTAGACCCCACTATCCTGCACAATTTTTATCTGGTATCTAACCTTCCTTTTGGAGGGAAGGTGATGGAAAAGGAGGGTCCAGGCTGAGAGATTACCTCTTTCCAGTTATATCAGCCTAGCTAACCCATTAGCTCCAACAGAGAGAGCATGCTGAAGGTACTATCTGCCAGGGACCTACAATTGACATATTCTCCTCATCCCTTTTAATGTTTACATTTGCTTAAGTCCCTTAAGTTTCTTTATGGCATCAAGGAACTGGAGACTTGTTTAGATGGCTCTACAGTTAAGGTGGATGTATTCACTCAATCTCTGTTCAGTTTGCATATATTTTTAATTATCTTTATTTTAATACTGATTTTTCTATTTTTAAATGTATTTTTACTATTGTATGCCATCCAAAATCTTTTTATGAGGTGAAATTAGATTTTAAGGAGATAATAACAAAGTGGCAGATGATTCTGATCAGAGGGAAAAGACGTCTTTGGTGCTCTCTGAGTTTGAGCACTGAGGATCCCTCATTTCAACCCCAAGCTAAAAAATATTTTTTTTCCTTTAGAGGGAAAAGGGCAGCTTGAAACAGCCAATAAGCCTGGCTCAGATTTCACTCACAGTTACTCACCCATCTTCACCTCTGATAAAATGGGTGTTAAAGCATAAGACAGTGGCAAAAGATGATGCTCATATTTATATAGGATTAGGATGCAAGTGGGGAAAGAGCTGGGATAGGTATGTAGTGAAGAGAAAAAGTTATTTCAAGCTCAGTCTAAACTTCCATGTTCCTGAAGTTTGACTAAATGATTGAATCAGCTGAAGTTTAGCAGAGATATGTCTGGATCATTTTGGGTGATCCAAGTTTAGGCAAAAATCTAATCCAAAGCAATATGAGCAATTTTAAAGAGTAAAACTACCTTGGTGCACTTACTTGTGTCATATTTCTCCATATGGCTTTTCCTTCCTTCTTTCATCACCAACCACAGGTGCTCTGACAAAGCATGTACTCCCAAGCCCATGTGCCTTCTCTTAACTACCAATACCAAAGTGCATATAAGTTGTCCCCAAGGCCAGGCTCTTTTCCACTCTTATAACCACCTGCATCACTCCTGCCTAGGACTATCATGTTTCAATTCCTATCCAGAACAAAACATGTTCTGTTTACAGATCAAACATACAAAATACAGACTATCTGAAATCAGTTGTCCCATGCCCAAAACTCTTTGCAAATCCCTAATGATAATGAAGGGGAAATTATGCAAAAATGAACTAGGAAGCACCTGGTTTACACAAAGAGACTACAAATCATTGAAGGGAGAGAGTGGTAAGCAGACCTCAATTTGCATTAGATATCAACTTTTTAATGTCACAGAGTCCTGGCACATGAATAAAGATGAGGTAAACCAGTATGTATGACAGAAGCAGCTTCATAATTAACTTCTGCACTAGACCTGTGGTGAATGGGTGACTTGTTACAGGAGAGTGAGGTACAGTATCCAAATGACCTCTGGTCAGGAAGCAAGATCATACTAAATGCCCACAGACACCAAGTGCTCACATATCATTGGATAATCAGAACAGTGACTTCATTACAGAGCCCTGTGGGAAGCGTTGCACATTTCAAAAGCCCAGTTTCACGTTATAAAATATAGGATACAGTTGCAAGGGATGTAACAAAAAGCTTGTACTTGGGTCTTTATGCAAGTTCACACTAAAGACTTTTGCAGGCACCAATGACCTGTCTTTTATAGAATTTGATCCCAGATTTGACTGCATTGTCAGCTTATAAACATACTCCAGAGCATTCCTGTCTAGAACACAGACACACAAACACCTTTGGCAGAGTAACTTAAAACTACAACTGTTTTAAACTACCCTCAATCAAAATCCATTAGGAATAATTAACATCAAGAAAAGATAAAAGGGCTTGTTCTCAGTTCATTTTATTAGTCAATGACCCTGTAATCGACCAAGGTAGTTTCCATTTGTTGCTGCAAAAAGGTACCTTTTGCCTAAATCTAGAAGAAATTAAGCACGAAATGAAACACTTATCCGACATTACAAATTTTAAAAATTGTCAGGTATTTGGAGTTTTAACATATTCATCAGGAATATTTTCAGAATTTAAGGAAAGTTGAAAGAGGTCTATCTCGTTTAATTTAAATAATTCTCTTCCTAATTAAAGTATCCAGTCAGACTCAGAATTAAACCTAAAATACTCTACAACAGCACCTTCTATAAACTCAATCCAACTAGTTAAGCAGTTTCAGGAGTACCATACCGAATACCGTGTGCGCACGCGCCTCAATGTTGCCTCCTTGAAGTCCCATAATTTTAACCCTTTCATAAAAGGCTTGCCCCTTGTCTATTTCCGAAGGCTGATTGGCTCAACGCCTCCCACCTATCTTCGTACCTAGCCGGGATTAGAACTCATGATCCCGATACTTTAACCATTCCATTAAGCTATGCTTTACTTTAGTAAATATAACAGTAAACATATATGGCTGCCATAGATGTGGCAATTTTCAAAGCAACTAACTTGAATTAAAGACTTTCAGCTCTTTCCGAGACGAAGGTGGCGGCTCTTAAAAGAGCCTTTGGGTATCGTATTATTTTCCGAGATAGGCCGAAACTGGAGGAGCGCGGACTTAAGCTCTCTCCCCGCGGATGCGCCGCGCCAGCTGAATGTCTTTCGGCATGATGGTCACCCTCTTGGCGTGAATGGCGCACAGATTCGTGTCCTCGAACAGCCCCACCAAATACGCTTCGCTCGCCTCCTGCAGAGCCATCACGGCCGAGCTCTGGAAGCGCAGGTCGGTCTTGAAGTCTTGGGCGATTTCACGCACCAGCCGCTGGAAGGGCAGCTTGCGGATCAGCAGCTCGGTGGACTTCTGGTAGCGGCGGATCTCTCGCAGAGCCACGGTGCCCGGGCGGTAGCGGTGAGGCTTCTTCACGCCGCCCGTAGCCGGGGCGCTCTTGCGGGCAGCCTTGGTCGCCAGCTGCTTGCGGGGCGCTTTGCCGCCGGTTGACTTCCGAGCCGTCTGCTTCGTCCGGGCCATCTCTTCACAGAAGTGGGAAAAAGGGAACTGAAGAAGACAAATTCGCGGGACAGCATTTATACATCACCTTGCACTTTTGATTGGCTACTGCTAAGAAAAAGCCTCTTTCCATTGGAAGAAAGCTAATATTTGATTGGCTGGAGCTAGGAAGCCAAAGCTTCATTGGATAATTTAAAAGTGCGCGCAATAATTTAAGACCGCCACTTTTAGCCTTTTTGCTACTGTACTTGTATTTAATTTAAATTGGTATTCTATGCTTTCCCCAAGAATTACTGTACTTTTGAAAAGCCGGGAGGTAAAATCTATTTTTTCCCGTTCGTTTGCAGCTTGACTGAAAATTATTGAGGAACGTAGCAGATTATTAGCGGTCCCCCCCCCCAATATTCTGTTGGAATAAAGTGCCTTATATTCAATTACTCAATGGGCACCAATTTCATCTATGCACGTGTACCTGTTGAGAACTTGGCTTTCGCTTCAATTATAACATTAACAATTATTAAATCCTAAGTATTCTGTCTCCAGTTTATTAAGAAAATAGCTATTTAATTTATTTAGCTCTTCTGAGAAAAATTATTCTATCGTGGACATGAATGAAATCATTTAACAGACTTCTTGAAAAGCTTTTTATGTTTAGTAACTTATGTGCGCTCAAATACAAGGACTTTGACTCCCCGGAAAGGACAATGAAACAGTGGAATAAACGAGTGGCTCTACCAGGTCCAGTATTGTGTTTGAAATTTTATACACGCTGAAAGGGCAACTCTCTTAAAATATCGTTAATCTTTTTCCAGTCTCCCGTGTAATCGGGGAAGGATGGAGGGAAGGGGAACGAGAGATAGACATGCGAAATTAGCTACAGCCAATACACGCGACAATAAATGTCCCTATAACAAACCAGTGAAGTGCTGCTTTATTTTATACTAGCTTTCATGCAAATAAAAGGGTTCTGGTTCTAGTTTTCTATTGGATAATAGAACAAAGCGTTACGACTGATTGGATTACTTGACATCGAGCGGCTATTGGCTGTTCAGACGACATCTTAGTGTGAGCCTATCACAAGCGCATCACAAAACCCTTTGATAGGGAAGAAAACGACCTGTAATTCAACCTGAGCGAACGAAACCTTCATTCACGAGCATTTTTAAAGTTATGCCGCATTCATTCTATTTCCTGGTGTGGGAAACGGAGCATCTTTTCTTATTTTTAATTAAAAGGCGTGATTTACATTTGTTTAGTCTTATTTAAGTTTTTAGGAATTCGAAGCAAACCTGGGAGGATTGCGATATTAGTAATATATTTCATAGGACACAAACTCGATATAAACGCCCTTGCCCACTAATATATATTGCCTAAATGGGACTGCTTAAAATGGAAAGTGAAAGCCCGACCCCGTGCACGCTTAATGAGAAAGTGCCCACTTGACTCAGTGGCATTTGTTGCCTAGTTGCTTCTTACTAACCAGATAAAAGAGGCGGAAACCTGCTATTCCCCGCTCCCTCCCCACTTTTCGGAAGTAATGATTCGCCTGGTTTAGTGTATATAGAGCCCCGTTAAGTGTACTTGCTTTGAAGCTCAATAAATCGCTGCTCAACATCCCTAAACGCTACAGAATGATGCCCTAGTGTATAGGGTTCCGCCCGAGCCGCACTGCATTTTGTTTCACGACATTAAAGCACTCAGATAGTGTTTTACTGAGCGGACAACAGCTCTCTTTTGGATTCTGTGGGTGGCTCTTAAAAGAGCCTTTGGGTTTTTAGAAAAGCAACCACGGGCCAAGTCTGGATTTACTTCTTCTTGGGCGCCGCCTTCCTCGCTTTGGCCGCCTTAGGCTTGGTCTTGGTCTTGGCCGTCTTCGGCTTCACAGCCTTCGCTTTGGCCGGGCTTTTGGCGACTTTCTTGGGCTTGACCGGTTTAGCCTTTTTGGGGCTCTTGGTGGCCTTCTTAGCCGCCGCGGGCTTTTTGGGTTTCTTCGGACTCTTCTTGGCCGCCGCTGCCTTTTTGGGCTTCTTGATGCCACTCGCGGGCTTCTTGGCCACCGGCTTCTTAGGCTTAGCTGCTTTCTTTTTGGGCGCCTTCTCTTTCCCTTCGCCCGATTTCTTGCCGAGTTTGAAAGAGCCGGAAGCACCGATTCCCTTCGTATGCACCAGGGTACCTTTGCTCACCAGGCTCTTCAGACCCAGTTTGATGCGGCTGTTGTTCTTCTCCACATCGTAGCCCCCAGCGGCCAAGGCTTTCTTCAGAGCAGCCAGAGACACCCCTTTGCGCTCCTTGGAAGCGGCCACCGCCTTAGTGATCAGCTCGGTGACGCTGGGACCCGCCGCCTTGCGCGCTTTCGCCGCTCCCGCTTTCTTCGTCTTCTTAGCCGGAGCTTTCGAAGTTACAGCAGGAGCCGCGGCCGTAACAGCAACAGCAGGCGCCGTTTCAGACATGATCACTGAGAGAACCAACTAAATAAAAAAAAAATCTCCAAACACAAAAAGTGAGCTCAAGTAGGTCAGCCGCTGTTTATTTATAGAGCTGAGCTGCTTTGTGATTGGTCCGCTTCAGAACCCGCCCTGTTCCAAGGCTGAAGGGACTCTTCCGACAGCTCAGTTTGTGTTTCTTTAGAGTTAATAAATTGCAAATTTTACAGAATTTGTGCCTCTAAATAACGAAATCTTAGAATGAGGGAAAGAGGAAGGTGTTCTTTTTATTCCTTTAATTTTTGAAAAAGCAGAACGCAACATATACTTTTTAAAAGGGCACATAACCACCGAATGCAGGATCTGGGAAGACCTGGAAAGAGTGGAAGTTTTGTTTTTCTTTGTAAATTAAAACTATGCATTTTTTAAAATGTTTGGAAAAACTATGCAGATCACTTCTTTAGATAGTAATCTCTGAGATGAGGCACAGTATGTGGGTTTTAGCATAACAGCCTTATTATAAATCAAGTTCAAGTAAACTGAGGTAACACAGACTTCTACAAACTACACTCACCATTGCTAATCAAGCAAGCCCTAAGCAAGCCACTATCTCTAAAGAAAAACTGTCAGATAATGTAATAATATGGGCAAAAATTGGAATTTCATGTGCTAATATATATACTGTAATGCCCCTTTTTCACATTTGCAAATAATCCTATGTTGGATGCAAAAAGGCATCATAGAGATTGTCCATTTTAGTTGGACCTTTTACAACTCAGTTTAGAAAGACTAACACCAATATTCCTGGCTGGGGATTAAATAATATTAAACTTAAAAGGATTTTCCTGTTGAAATTTCACTCAAGATTATGAAATAATATGATCAGACACATATCCATTCATAAGAGACCTACATTCTGCTGAATTCAATGGGATTTATATCTGGAAAAAATAGAGACAATTATAGTTTAGATACAATTTCACACTTTTCATTGGAGAAAATCTTTATGAAACAAGTATTTTATTAAAAATTCTGTTTTATGCCTCAGTCTAAATAAATGTATTCAGCATGAAAAACACTGTGCTGTCAAGGGAATTTATTTTTTTAATTAGTTTGGCATTAAATCCTTAGTTTGAACTGTTCTGATTGCTGTATATCACCATATTTCCCTTGTTACATTTGAATACAAAATAGCCTTTAAAGCTGCATCCTACTTATTTGAGTGAAAGTCTCAAGTCATGAGATTCATTTACACTGTAAATTCACAGTGTACACAGGGTGAACAAATGTAGATGCTTTCACATACCTTTACAAGCAATGGGTATGTGAAATTGCAAATGTTGGGCATGTCAGGAGAGATAGGAGTCAATGGAATTTATACTCAAATATTTGTACATAGGATTATGAACTTTTAGAGAATCCAAGGTAAGTCTATAGTACTAAAACATTCCACTGAGTTCAGCCCTTTCTCCCAAGTCAGAAAATAGGATTGTAACTCAAATAGATTTGATCCTTCGCTCTCTTCCAGAACAAAGAACCTCTTAGAATACTTCATTTAATTTACCACTTATCTTTCCTGAAATGCATCTAGTGAAAACAACCAACAAATCAGTTCTGTGAAAACTCAAGAAATGGAAACTGTTGATATTTAGGTAGGTGGCTTTAAACTTTGAATTATACACCTATTATATATATTGTCAAATGACATGAAGAATTCTGAAGTGAGTTCTAGTTCTCCTTTAGGCATGAAAGCTGGCTGGGTGACTCTTAGCCCAATTACCTCACAGGGTTGTTGTGGGGAAAATGAGAGGAAGGAGTATTGTGTTCGCTTCCTTTGTAATAGTAATACAGACAAGATTTTTTTTTTTTAAAGTGTCTTTCTCTACTGTACACACATATGTACGCCCTCCACTACATTGAAAATTTAACTGCAGCAACAATCGCATTTTGTTAGAGCAGCAACCAAGAAATCCTGAAGCGCTCTCTCTCTCTCTCTCTCTCTGGTTAGAGGCGAAGATGCTGCGGAAAGTCGCAAAAACAACACAACTAAGTGGTAGGCGGGCCTTTCTGACATCAACCAAAAGCGCGGGTTTTCAAATCTTTCCAATGGCAATTGCCTTCCTAGAGCTAGCCAATCAAAAGAGAAATTGGAATCGCTATAAATTAGGCAACGAGAGTTTCAATCTTCCCTTAAGACTTTTTCTCGCCCACGTTTGGCGCGAACAGGGAGATGGCCCGGACGAAGCAGACGGCTCGGAAGTCAACCGGCGGCAAGGCGCCCCGCAAGCAGCTGGCGACCAAGGCTGCCCGTAAGAGCGCCCCGGCTACGGGCGGCGTGAAGAAGCCTCACCGCTACCGCCCGGGCACCGTGGCCCTGCGAGAGATCCGCCGCTACCAGAAGTCCACCGAGCTGCTGATCCGCAAGCTGCCCTTCCAGCGGCTGGTGCGTGAAATCGCCCAAGACTTCAAGACCGACCTGCGCTTCCAGAGCTCGGCCGTGATGGCTCTGCAGGAGGCGAGCGAAGCGTATTTGGTGGGGCTGTTCGAGGACACGAATCTGTGCGCCATTCACGCCAAGAGGGTGACCATCATGCCGAAAGACATTCAGCTGGCGCGGCGCATCCGCGGGGAGAGAGCTTAAGTCCGCGCTCCTCCAGTTTCGGCCTATCTCGGAAAATAATACGATACCCAAAGGCTCTTTTAAGAGCCGCCACCTTCGTCTCGGAAAGAGCCGAGTCCATATGTCAAGCAAATCCCAGCGATTAAGGCGGGTTAATAAATGCCGTTTGCTCCTACAGTGTACCTAAATTGTAGCACGAAGCAGGGAAAAGGTAATTTTTTCTTGGGTATTCTGTAGCCTAGTTTATTTGAAGCACTGGTTGTCTGGACAACAGTTTCCATTGTATGAACCGCCATTTTGGGGACTGGAAAAGTCTATACTGTGGAGATTTATGACTACCTGTGTAAAGGAATTGTTTTTTGTAGTTTCAGGGGGGGTGTATTTCACCTCAATTGTCCGGGAGCCCAACTCCTGCGTTTGCCCAAGGGCGGTCCCCGAGTTTCGGTTCCTTTTCTCATAGGAGTGAAAAAGGAGAACCTAACTTTAACTTCCCACCCAACAGCCCGGAAACCGTTGAAAACAAATGTCAATTCAACTTAACTCTCGCCAGGAACTCTAGATAGCAATTTGCATGTAAGGGACTGCACCTCCTGAATTTTGGATATACAATGCTAGCAACTTTTACATCTTGAATCCATTCACGTTTCCGAATCCTTTCAGAACTCTGTCCTGTTAAACCTTAAACCCCTCAAACCTGTTTCCATCATTTTAATTCAAAATTTTAAGAAATATTGCATATCTTTGTCCCAAAGGTGCTTTTTTCAAAGGACAACTTTTGTTCTCTTTGAGTTGTTTTTTTCCTTAAAGACATTTCGCTCCTCATTCAAGAAGCTTCAGTTCTGAATGAATGATGGAAAGTTGGAAGGATTTATATTCCTTGCAGGAATATACTATAAAATGTATTCCCTAGAGCAGGGGTAGGCAACCTTGGCTCTTTTGACTCGTGGACTTCAACTCCCAGAATTCCTGAGCCAATTCTGGGAGTTGAAGTTCAGGAGTCATAAAAGAACCAAGGTTGCCTACCCCTGCCCTAGACAATTTCAAAGAGAGCTGGCTACAAGAATTTTTTAAACCTGGCAACGTGTTTTTAATTGTCCCTTTCCTCTTCATTCTTTTGAGTATCTCACATTACTTCTTCACAAGCAAGGCAATTGTTAAGTGAGTCCTGCCCAACTTTACAATCTTTTTTGCCATGGCTGCTAAGGGAATCACTCCAGTTGTTAAATGAATCATGGTGTTGCTAGCAAATCTTGCTTCACCATTGACTTAACTTTGTTGGAAGCTGGCTGGGAGGATTGCAAATGGTGATCATGTGACCCCAGGATGCTGCACCTGTCCTAAATATATCCTACTTGCCAAGTTCCTAAATCCTGATCTAGTGATCATGGGAATGCTGTTAAAAATCAGGATTGGTCATGTCACTTCTTTCAATGCTATTATAACTTTGAACCATCACTAAACAAATGGTTGTAAATCAAGAACTACATTCCTTTTAGAATCATGGTATTAATCTTCCACTGGCTAGTGATATTTTGCTTTGCTGAATGTAGCTTTATATCTTTACATTAACACTTTATTAACACAATACAATGAATTAGTTTACCATGGTGAGGTCAAGCAAGCGTGTGCATAACTCCCCGTTGAGAGTTTATGTGGCATTAGTTTAGATCACAGGATAGAGAAAATCATTAACCACAGGAAGGATGCCATGTAAATGCAGTCACAAAAATTAATTAGTGATACCAAAGGGAAACATTTTATGCTTTCTGTGTGGTTGACATACCCTCTTTCTGTTATTATCTCTACCACCACTAAACGTTTCTGATTTAGAAATTCCTTAAAGTTTCTAAGGTAACATTTAGATGGAACATAGGGAAGATAAAAGATATTTCAGACACTTGCTTACCATAGAAACAAAGGAGGAAAATGACTTTTATTAAACAATTAAACATAGGCTTTAAACGCGCTTCCTTACTTCTTCTGTTTCCCCAAAATCTTAGGCAAATGCTAAAAAATATTCCCAACCTTGTCTCCTCAAGGATGGGAAATATTCTCAGGCTTTCCTGAGAACAGCAGACCTGTTCTGCTAATACTTCCTACATCCCTCTTCATTATGGGAATATAACTGAGAAATGCCTTACATTACCATCCTTTGCTTGGAAGTTTCTTTTATTATACAGGAATTTTCCTTTCATAACTAGGGAACATTCCATTTTTCCTTTAAAAATGGAGGTTTTCTAAAAAGTAAGCTTCTAAACTGAAAGTGATTTGTGATATTCCAGATATGGTCATGCCCCAAAACAGGCTTGTTTCATCCGAAGCACGCATACAGTACGAATAACTTCCAATTCAGTATATTAACTGCTCCTAGAATGACTGGTTCAGTGTGATCCAAAGAAGAAATACAAGGTTCCAGAATTCTCCAGTCAATTAAATTCCCAGGAACGAGATGTAGTACATCTCTAGTTTTCAGGATACGTTTGTCTTCATTCATGACCCTTCAAAGAAGCACCAAAAAGCACTAGCCAATATAATTTTACTTTCAGATGTTGTTAAATCTTCTGATTGTACAAAATATTAAATGCTGTAGCGTATTCCATCCATTCCTGCTTCACACACCTATTAATACGGTTTAGATGCCTTGTAACCTCAAAATAACTTTCCCCAGGTTTAAAAGTTCAAAAATTTAGTGGATAGAAAAACTAAAGAATGTTAGATACACCAAGCAGAATCCACAAAGGATTTCCTAGCTTGGAAGCAGATGAAATGTTACGTTGCCAAAATAATAAATTAGTGAGCATTAGATTGAGTCAATGCTCCTTCATGTGTGCTGCTTTTTAAGCCTAGTCCTCTGAACAAAATCACTCTTTCTCCTCCCTTTTTGTCTTGCAAATGCCAAGATTTTAAGAGCTTGTATGCAAGCCTAAAGTACAAAAGAATGAAAGACAGAAGTGATAAATTCATGGAGTGTGTCTTCTCTCTCAAATGGAATCAATGATTTGTCCTTTCTTAACCTTGTGAGCACTAAATGCATTGAATGTTACCTCTGTATCCCACCAGCTACCATAACAAAAAATTAGGAATATGAACTTAGAAGTTACCAAGTTGGGGAACACTGGAAAAATAAATATCTCTTTCCTGGATTCGTTAGAGATTAAGATTTACTAAATATCATTATCATTACTTAATTTCCAGATGAACCATTTATTCAGAAAGTCCTCATTCTCTTTTTAAATTTAAAGTATTAATGCAGACACCTCATCACAAAAAGAGTTACATCAAATATTTATTCTCTCATAAGACAATGGTATTTGTCCTGCCAGCAAGAAGCCACTAATGTGACTGCAGAATAAGCAGAATACAAACCATTTGCAATGCCACATATGCAAACAATCTTGTCTGCCCACCTCTATGATGGTGTACAAACTAAGACATTTCACCGCCTAAAAAATAGCATTGCAAAATATTTACAGAAGCCACCCAAACACAAAAGCCTGATGATCAGGTTTATATGTAAGAGATTAGAACCAGAATTTATCTTGGTAAACTATGTATTTCTTCCAATCACTAAAAATACTCAAGACAATATACTTCCCATACAGCACAGATATAACCAAGTCTTTTTTAAGAACTGATAATATGACAGTGCTTTTTCTTACATTTTCTATTATGATTTCTCCCCCCTCCCAGTATAATGATAGATTGAGATGGAGGCTATTTTGTTGTCACAACAGATGTTTTTCAACTGGATGCCACTATAACATGGAACCCCATTCCCATATCTCATCATAGTAGAAATCTTAACTGATTGTCACAGAAGCCCCTCCATCTCCTTCATGAAAGCTTCATAAACATCATCCTTGGTCTGCACAGAAACAGGGGCAGATGAGCCAGCTTTAGGAATTGTTTTGGTTATCTGAACAGAATGCTCATCATCAGGTTTTCTCAAGACAGAGGCAGCTGTTCCCTTATTCTCTCGCCGAACTCGAAGAGCTGTAGGCACAAACCGGGTGATCTCAGCCTTGGGGTTTGTAATTTGTGGCTTGGCACTAATCGTTGCTGTGGCTTTCTTCTCAATGGTGGCTGCACTAGTATCATCCGTCTTGGGGCGCTGAATCAAGCTGGGGGGAGCACTCAATACACCTGGATTCGGAATGGGAGCAGGTGGGAATAACCCAGGTGGAGGAACCAAAGGAGGGCGTAACATGCCTGGACGAGGAGGTGGAATACCTGCAGAAGCATAAATTGTTATTCTTCTGATCTTTGTGAAGAATAAAAACTTGAATTTCAAATTATATACAAAGTTTCAGTTAAGAGTCTCAAGAATTTTCCTAAGCATAAATTCATTGTATTAGTTTCCTTATATGTACAATATCTGTATGAAAATTCAAGACATTTATCAAGAAAGACTGACTAATCCTGAAATCACATATCCTAATGAATTTTATTTCTACCTACACAATCCATGTTTGATAATGTTTACAACAGCAGATTTACAGGCCAGCAGTTGAATTCCTAAGTATAAACATTCCTATCACTGCAACTACTAACACTGCAGTACACAAAATTCAAAAATTAAAATTTATTTTCTTCAATCACAAGCTCTTGCAACATTTCCTAGAATCCCAACTGAAAATGTTTTATGAGATCTCTGTTCTACTACAAATTACTGGAGAAACCAAAACATCCCACTTCTTAATTATAACATTACCTGGAGGAGCTGGAGGTGGCAGACGAGGTGGGGCCCCCCTAGGAGGGGGGCCGGGAGGCAAACCAGGAGGGGGGCCAGGAGGAGGACCAGGTGGCCGACCAGGTGGAGGACCAGGAGGTAAGAGCCGTGGCAAAGGTCCACGCAGTCCAGGCAATCCAGGTGGTCTTAGGAAAGGAGGAGCACCTAAAAATATCATACAAATACATGTTAGTTGACTATTTCTCTAAAAAGGGTAATTCTTCAGTATCATCTTAATTGATATGGTTTAAACTGAAAAATGTTTCAAGAATGTGTTGTTTACGAAGCATTCCAATTCATTCCATGAAAAGGGTGACTAAGCAATTAAAACAAATTATTTTCCTTCTGAATCAAGCTTTCCCGTATGCACAGATAACTATGTATAGTAATATGTTTTTCACATGTATGTAAAGTAGTATATATCCATTCCAATTTCTCACAATAGAAA